GCCACCGCAGCCTGGATCTGCTGCTTCTTAGGTGATACTTTCACCTCAGCATTCCAAGTAGCTGGAACTACAGGCATATGCCACCATGCCCGGCTAATTTTTGTGATTTATTGTAGACACCTTTCACTAAGTTGCCCAGACTGGTCTCAAACCCTGGGGCTCAGGCAATCCTCTTGCCTCAGTCTCCCAAAGTGATGGGATTACAGGCTGAGCCACCACGCCTGACCAAGAAGGAAATTTAAAAAAACATTAGTGTAGTCTAAGAAAATCTTTATTTATTTATTTACTTTTGAGTTGGAGTTTCATTCTGTTATCTAGACTGGAGTGCAGTGGCACACTCACGGCCACTGCAGCCTCGACCTGCTGGGCGATCCTTCCACCTCAGCCTTCCAAGTAGCTGGAACTACAGGAACACGCTACCACGCTCGGCTAATTTTTTGGATTTTATTGTAGAGATGAGGTCTCACCAAGTTGCCCAGACTGGTCTCAAACCCCCGGGCTCAGGCAATCCTCTCGCCTCCCAAAGTGCTAGGATTATAGGCATGAGCCACCGCACCCAGCCAGAAAATCTTTAAAAACAAGTTAGCCCGAGAGTTTTTAAAGTCTACAGTAGTGGACAGTAACATCCTAGGCCTTCATACCCACTCCCCATCACTCAATGACTTAACCACAGCAAACTCCACTCATGATAAGCGCCCTATACAAGTATTCAATTTTTTATCTTCTATACTGTATTTTCAGTGTGCTTTTTCTAGGTTTAGCTAGGTTTAGGTACACAGATACTTGACATTGTGTTACAATTGCTTATAGTCTTTAGTACAGTACCATGCTGTACAAGTTTATAGCCTCAGAGCAATAGGCTGTTTTCATGTGGCCTAGGGGTGCAGTAAGGTGCGCTGTCTAGGTATGTAGCAGGACTCTGTGAGGTTCACACAATGACAAAACCGCCTAAGAATGCATTTCTCAGAAAGCATTCCCTTGCTAAGCAATGCGTTACTGTATAATACACACATGACCTTTTGGTATTCTTTTTGCATATCGTAACCTTCTTAACTCCTTTTTAAAATAAGTTCTGATATAATTAAATACATACTTAGGAGACAGGGCTAGTTTAAGACCAAGTGCTGGGAAATGGGTATAGAGACACCATCAAGCCTAAGTTCGTTCCTGGTTCCCCTGGTTCCTCCAGCTTGACTGCTCTGAGGGTAGGGTTCATGGCCGGACTCCCCCTATACTTGCAGCCCAAGGTGAGGACTGCAGCCTGTCGCCAAACCCCCGCCCATCCAATGCCCAATCTCACCACCCATGCTGCTCTCTGTATATCTGGTCTTACCTCTTCTTGAGGCTCAGGTGCTGTGAGATTACTCTCTTCTGGAACCGCAGAGACTTGAAACTGAAGGTCTTGGCCCTACAAAGAAAAGAGTTCTGAAAGTGAGTTCTTGCAGCGGCTCAGCCTCTCCAGGTCTCAACTTAGAAGGAAGGGTCTTCTGTGTCTTCTGTGACTGGAGTTCAGGGGCACACTCACGGCTCACCACAGCTGAGTGTGAGGTCTTCAAATCACTACCTACCACTTTTAGACGAACATTCCTCAAGAATACACTGCTACTTTCACACTTAAGTGATCCTAACCCATGACAAGCAGTTAGGAGAAACAAGTGGTGAAGTGGTTTCTTTCTTTCTTTTTTTTTTTTTAGGTTGGAGTCTCATTCTTGGCGCTCAGGCTGGAGTGCAGTGACACGCTCATGGCCACTGCAGCCTCGACCTCCTGGGCTCAGGTGATCTTTCTGCCTCAGGCTTCCAAGTAGCTGGAACTACAGCCATGCACCATCATGCCCAGCTAATTTTTCTTGATCTATTGTAGAGATGAGGTCTCACCAAGTTGCCTAGGCTGGTCTCAAATTCGTGGGCTCAGACAATCCTCTCACCTTAGCCTCCCAAAGGGCAGGATTATAGGTGTGAGCCACTGTGCCTGGCCCTGAAGTGGTTTTTTTTGAGAAAAGTTCTAGGTTCTGAGATGGGAACCCAAGTCGGCGAAAGCCCTGTGTAGGTGGGTGCGGTGGCACATGCCTATAGTTCCAGCTACTCAGGAGGCTGAGGCAAGAGGATTGCTTGAGGCCAGGAGTTTGAGGTAGCAGTGCACTATGACTACTGTGAATAGCCACTGCACTCTAGCCTGGGCAACACAGGGAGACCATCTCTAAAAAAAAAAGAAAAAGAATAAAAGAAACCCCTGTGTAGAAACTGTTAGGCCCGGGGGAAACCGTGGCACTCTAAGGTTTAAAACAAAATTTTTAAAAAATGAAATTTAATTCACACACTATAGAATCCATCCTTCTAAAATAGAACCAATTTCTGCTGGGTGTGGTGGCTCATGCCTGTTATTCCATACTTTGAGAGGCTGAAATGAGAGGATTGCTTGAGCCCAGGAACTCAAGACCAGGCGGCAACATGGTAAGAGACCTTATCTTTTTTTAATTTTTTTTTGAGTTGGAGTCTCACTCTGTCACTGAGGCTGGAGTGCAGTGGCATTCTCACAGCCACCGCAGCCTCGACCTGCTGGACTCAGGCAATCCTTCCACCTCAGCTTTCCAAGTAGCTGGAACTACAGGCATGTACCACCATGGCCGGCTAATTGAGGTATCATCTTTTTTTTTTTTTTTTTTTTTTTTTTTT